AGGCAAAGGAAAAAGTATTTAGATGACTTATTATACTGTGAACTGGGCAAGGGAGAATGGATCTCATTCATGCCGTCAATAATAGAGACAGGTTGACAAAGACATGACTGCCAATGTCAAAATCTGACAAGGTATATGAAAAAGATAGGAATGCTTGTTATTAGCAAAGACTATTCTTTTCTCATTTTATTTTTTTTTTTCAGTTGAAAACAATAACTTATTAAAATATAATTTTTTAATATATATCTTGTTCACTATTTGCAATTTATATTATTAAATAATTATATTCACATGTACTATGATATTTAACAAATGACAGCAATAATAACTGTTTCATTGCTTGCACTAAAGTTAAAATGGGTTTTCCCTTTTCAATTGAATCATTTGTCTCAATAAATAGTATTGTACAGAAGTTGGATGTAATTCAGAGAATAACGTTACCCCTGGGAATAAATGATAAGAATAGAAAATAAAATTCATTAATTATGCGATAAGGTTGCTGATTATATACGTAGGGGTCAAACGTAGGGGTCAGATATAGATAACCTAAAAGGAAGTATGTGTCAGAAGCCATCTATAATAAACAACATTCTTTGTTGTTATTACTCATTCTGTTGACTAACTATCCAAAATTATTATCAGTTTACAGTGAAGTTCCAGTGAAACTGAGTTTATATCATCATTCATAGCATTAAACTGTTGTTCAACTTATTAATAAAATAGTTGAAATAATGCCAAAAAACTGATTTTTTTTTTACACAATTGCTTGTTGTTGGTATTGTCAATCATTTCTGGTTTGAAGCAACTGCACCATTAATTACACATCCATGTTGTTATTTTTTATGTAAATTGTTGCTTTTTTAGGAAAAAAAATACTTCTGATTTCAATTACAGTTAAATGCAAAACACGTCTGAAAAGTAACGAAAGTTTATTTTAACAATAAAGAGTATATCGTATTGTATCGTAATATTGAATCAAATATATCCTGGTATAACACCTAATTGATAACAGAAATTTAGTTTTTATGTACAATGGTATCGAATAATTTAAATTATAATAGATATTGCAACATTTATAGTACCAGTACAAGACTGAAACGGAAATTATAGATTATTGTTGTGCCATTTTTGAATGAAGTTGAAATATATAACAATAATAATAATAATAATAATAATAATAATAATAATAATAATAATAATAATAGTAATAATAATAGTAATAATAGTAATATTGGTAATAATAATTAAATAATAATATAATAGTTGGATTTATAGAGCCTTACACCAGAACCTCAAAGCATTTGAAGCGTGGACAAGCTCGTTCAGTAACTTTATTGGTAACCCCTTACTCATCTCTTGAAAGATGACCTGGGTTCTTAAAAGTGCACATGAGCTAATTGTGTACACTGGGCCTACGGTTTACAGAAGACTTGTTCCAACTCCAGAACCATATGCGAGCGTGGCGGTTGAACCAGCGCCAATATTATGGCTCTAGGCTGCAGCGTCTGGCCTACCTTTACTGTTTGTCCATTTGACTCGTACTAAAACGGACAAGTTTTAGACATATACATACTGAAACATCTTTCCTAATGCAAATCGATTCTGTTGACAACCTGATTTTCCATATTAAAAAAAAAAATTAAACACTTCCAAAGTAAGTCAATATAAATTTTTGTTCTTAGATAATGTCATGGATCTGAAGTGTTTGATACCTTTTAAAAATGTTGAATATATTATGTACATTGTATATTTTTTTGTCTCTACATGCCATATAATATTTAATTATTTGTTTTTTTTTATATATTAAGGGTACAAAACAATGCAATTACATCAGTGTAAGTGGACTTTATAGGTCTACTAGGAGCCAAGTTTCAAGCGGTGGTAGGAAAAGCAGTAAATATAATATTGTTCAAGTTGACCTCTGACCAAAGTTCACATTATAGTTCAATAAACAGGTACAACCAAGACATAAGTGTGTTTACAGACCACAAGGAACATAGACAGCAAACAACACTCAAATACACAAGCTAGTATAATTTATTACTTTCAAAGTACAGGTGCTTTGTAATTAAGTACATGGTTGTATTATGAATTCCTATTAGTTAGGCCTAATAGTGATAATATTTCTTTTTCTGCCTGCTATTTGAAAGAGACAATTCTGAGCATCTTGAGTGAATATACTGGTTGACGTTTGATAAGATTCAAGATTTTTTTTATTCGTCAGTTATGAATACAACTTAACGATACATTTGCGCTTCATAACCGCAAGGTAAAGGCGAAATATAAATACCCAATACCAGTACCAGATAAGAAATTTGTTTTTCAGAGATTATTTAAGAATGTTAAATTAGTATACAGAGATAAAAAAATATATGTGACAGTCTGCCAAGCAAATATCTTTCATTACTCGGTTTCCTTATTCAATATTTGGTACATTCCATTGATCTATCATGGAGGTATAAATCTATTAAGTTATCTTTGTCGTACTGCATATTGTGTGTTGTATTATGGATGTCCATTATTACTGTAATGAGGATAGATTATAGAATAACCAAAACCATTATGTATATGGGGTCACAATTGGCTTTCATGACTTGTGACCATGCAAGGCAGCAGCATTTATCAACTCTCATTTATGATTGTTTTTACGAGGTATTATTATTAAATACTGGCCATTTGTACCAAGGTTTTGATGAGTCAGACTCTAATGTAAACACTTAATTGCTTTGTTCACTTCCATTAACTTTTGTTTTCTAAACTACAAAATGACAGGTGTCTTCTAGAAATACATTTTTTTAAATAAGAATAATGAGGCTGAACTTGCTTAAAAATTTGAACAAAATAAGAACAAATTGAGTCTAAAGGTCAAATGAGTTTTTTTTTTTTTTTTTTTAAATAGAAAAGCAAATCTTATATATACCTTATTTGCAGTTGGTGTGTATGTAATGCCCTCTATATTATTATTACAGTAGGACTATAGTAATATACTGCTGTAAAATAATAATTTTCTATCTTTAAAATAAGAATAACATTTTGAGCCTGAAATTGGCCAAAAAATAAGAACACTGAGTCTGGGCAAACATTTACTGGTTCTTATAAATAAAGGTGTAATATAACCAAACAGATGTTTATTAATTTGTGAGTGATAGCCATGCCACACCCTGGCACTGACTTAGGTCCTGGCAGAGGTCCAGGAGTGCGCCAGGGTATTAATGGATTGTGGCCCTAAAGCGTATTTGCATCTTTATTTTGCCTATCTTCCCATCCATGCCAGTCCTGTCTTAAAATAAATGTACAAAAAAATAAATAAATGAATAATTAAAATATAATTTATTAATTAAAAAAAATAATAATAATGCAGAAAAAAAGCCTACATATACACTCTGCCTAGTAAGATGATATTATTATTATTACTAAACAATAATTCTGACTGAACTGACCGTAATTTCTATGTTACTTGGGTAGAACATTTTTTTCTCCTATGAATAATTTATTATTGCTGTCAATGGTTGTTTTTTTAATAATTGAAATTTAGCTGAAGTTTTGTAGAAAAAAGAAATTTTTGTCTATTGCAGTATTAACGGAAGTGTTTGTACTAATGAATGACAAAATCCTGAGACAATTTGTAATTTCCTTGCATTCCTAGATCTCTGATTTTTAGCTATAGTTTGTGATAGGTCAGAATGTATGTAGTATTAGCCTTGGTCAGGTAATGATGACCAAATGGTGTAGGTTCATCAGAGCATGGAGAGAGGAAGTGAAAGAATGTATAATTGCTTATAAATGGATGGGAAATAGATCCCATGAGAAGGCTTGGAACAAGAATGAATGCTGGTTTGTGGTTTATAGGGAAAGCAGAGAAGGGATGAGTTTGCTCTCTAAATCCTGTTGAGCTATAAGTTAATCCAAAGAATAATTTTAGATTTTGTTGATCTTTTTGATGTCATAAATTAATTTTATTGTGTAGACGTTTAGCCTACTGCGGAAACTATTTAGTCCTACCAGCACTTGATTAAGGCGATTTACCATTTAAACTTCATTCTAATATTACAGGGTACCTTGTCATGTATTGGGACATTTTCAGGTGGTTTAGTGAGATCAAAATGGGAATTATAGCAGATATAGTTTTTTCTTAAATGCCAATTTCACTTCACCTATTAGTGGTCTTTTGTTTTGTATGTACCAAGTAGATTTCTTAAGTTGTTATATCAAAATGCTTTAATAACAGTAATAGTTGTTTATCCATGCATCGCTTCACCTCTACAGGGGTCTTTGTCAGATATGTAGATGGGACTTTTGGGAAAGCTTGGCATGTACCATTGTCAATATCACATAATATCCCCTAGACTTTGTTCATTAACAATAGTTTACCCTGTCATTCACCAATCTGTTGCCTTGGATGGGCATTGGCTCCAAGGATACAGGGGAAACCTCAGCTGGGGTGCATCAAAAAGCTCAACTTGATGGGTTTCTTAATCCAATATTTTGTATTAGAGCTCTGTTCATTGTTCCAAAGAAGATGTAAAATGAGTTATTAGTCTTCTGCAGTTTATTGCATTCCACCTTTTGTAATTCTAGTTGACTTCTCACCCTTCACAAGTTAATAACCTTCTTTTATAATGGTTTTCATTTATTGCCCGACATAAATAAAGGAAACCATCTTTTGACATTCTAGCATTTTACTAAATGACATTGACACATCAGATATTACTGTAATTAAGAAATTAATACAAGTTGCATAATTAAAAACTGAAAGTCAAATAAAACTGGAAATCAGACATTTAATTCTGGGTAATGAAATTGAAAATAGCCTTTAAAAGATTTTTTCAAATGATAATATTTCGTTAACATTTTTATAATGAGTTCTCCCATGATGTTACAAATTATATGAAGCATTATCAATTCAGAATTTAGAAATAACTTTTTGTCGGTAAATTTTACTTCATTGAACTGAATTTGCTATTGTAGTTATGTTATAAAATTGTTTAATTCTCTTTCAGTTTTTGAGAGTAGAGATAAGATTGTGATGGTTATGGAATATGCCAATGGTGGTGAACTGTATGACTATATCAATGATGATAAAATGACTCCGGAAGATGCTCAGAAATTCTTTCGACAGATAGTGTCTGCTGTCAGTTATTGTCACAAGGTATGCTGCATGTCTTTTTTGTTTTGTTCCTTTTGTCTACCTTGCCTTCCTGTCCACTTGCCCACTGTTTTTGTAATTTAAAATCAGATAGATAAATGTAAGGGGCTTTTCACAATTATCAAGATTTTCGCAAGTGTACAAACAATATTATTGAAAGTGTACATAACAAATGTTGATTTTACAAACCCATTCTCCATTTTTTGTCAACTAAACTATTGTACTTGGTTACATAAAAATGTATACAGGTCTACATCTAATTAGAGACACCGCCAATAGTCTTTTATTTTTATTGTACTTTTAGAGACCAAAGCTGCTAAAGACCATGAAAACCCTGTTCCCAAAAGTGGTCTGTAATTGAAGGGAGACCAGTATTATATTCATAATTTCAGTATAATTTATTAAAAATCATTATTTTAAATATTGTATATTGTTTTAAATCAACATTTTCATGCATGTAAAAGTGTGCAAATATGTATACAGTACCTCTCCCACCCCCAGTGTAGGCCTACTGTTTGTATACTTGTGAAAATTTTGATAATTGTGGACAACCCCTAACCAGATCTCAATAAACTACCTAGGCTCTTGTCATCAAAAACGATAGTCTTAAAATCAGGAATTTTAATGTCTTAATACATGTAGACCGAAGACAAATATCATATTTTTGCCATTTGTTATCCGATTTTAACATTTTTTGTGTTAATTATTAGCTTTTGACCTCTATATTTTAAACATTGTCTCATTTTTCATATAAAGATGTGTAAGTCAATTTTAAAAAGAAAAAAAGGTATACCCTGTAATTCCAGCTAACAATATTGCATAAGAATGTTATAATAACGTTACAGTTTGGTGATAAAAACATTATTTTGTAGAACCATTTGTACATAATTTTAACCTAATTTCACAACGTCACAACGTTTGAACGTTCTTACAACATTGTGAAAGCGTTATTTTGTTACATACCTAACTGCAACGTTTGCGAATATTATAAGAACGTTTTGTGTTTGTTGGGATGCTCCTTTACAGTTTCAAGAATGAAGAATCCATTTAAAAAGAAATCTATTTGCCGGAGATTTTGTGGGATATTTTTTTTCTATATCTTTTTGTTAACATTGAAACAAACATGATCCTAACTTATAAGTTATTGTTTGATTGTTTTCTTCCAGCTTAACATCGCCCATCGAGATTTAAAACTGGAAAATGTCTTATTAGATGAAAACTTAAATGTTAAGGTAACTATTGACTCATTATTGCATCTTTAGTGTATTTCTAGCATTGACAAATTTATAGCTTTTGAAACATGGAATAGTTTATTTGTTGTTAAATTGTAATATATTGTCAAAAATAAATATTTCTAAGCAAAGGACAGAGATGGTTGAGGCTGGCTATACATGCGTCTATCTTGCCTGTGATGTTGCAATTTTCATGCTCAATATTTTTATTCAAGATTATTTTGTGCCTTGTTGTCGTCATCGCCGCCTCTGCATAAGCCACTGTTTTTTCCAATATGACATTTCAAAATGCTTGAAATCTTGCTTTTATTACTAAGTTTTTGTTAAGAATGATGCTAAGCAGGTGGACATTTTGATTTATTTGAAGCATGGTACATTTATCTTTTGTTCAAAAATTGATTACAAAAATTTAATGCAGGTGGTAAATTTCAGTGGCATCGCATGGCACTTCATTCATGCAGTCAGTGGCATGCATGCATGTCTAGGGGCTCATGAACCCCCATTGGGGAATTCTGGATCCTCGTTGGGGAAGAATCCAGTTATTTTGTCGGGAACACTACACAAAGCATTTACCAGTCTACCGAGATTGCCATTTTTGGCCATTTAGAGGTGTCTGTTCCTAACATTTCCCTAAAAACTTTGGAGCTGAGGGTGTTTTGACCCCTGTTGCTTGTTGAGAATCTTTGGACACCCTATTGTGGATCCCGGAACTTTCTTTTAGGAATTTTTGGCACTGCACTGCATTTTCAATGAATTTAAAAGGAAATACATAAAATATTGTAATCTTGACCAAATTAAAGCACTTTTTTCTTCTTTTTTTGTATGCATACCTCCATTCAGAATTTGTAATTGACTTTTATTGATGAGATCCCGAAACAGGAAACTGTTTTGTCCTCGACTTGATATAGTTTTTAACCTTCTTTAGAAAGGTACAGTAGACCTTTTGGAAGGAATAATACAGGCTGTTAACATTGACACTTTACTTCAAACATTTCATTAGTGGAGTGGACTAATCTTTCATTTGTTTTGGCCTATTATTTAGCAGATAATTGATTTATATGTAAAGTTAGCATTAGGTACAAAATAGGTTTTTATTCTGTTTAATTGGCAGTTTTTAAAAGTATGATTTAATGGGTATCATCAATTTTTTTTTATATAAATTGTGCAAAAGTCTGATCAATTTCACAATAAGAATATATTACTGAATGAAACTGCTTAGTTGAATTAGAGGGGAATTAGTGATGAATGTTTAGCCATAACCCATATAAAAATATTTTCCTTTAGAAAGTATGATTTCTATGTCTATCTCATTGTTGTTATTTTATAAAATCTATGGAGTTATAAATTGACATGGAGAGGGTGGTCATATCACTTTAGATTGAGATTGCATATAACAAAAAAAACAAAACAAAGTGATTTTCTATAAAAAAAAAATTATTTTATGATGATGCATATGGGAGTAATTGCCGAGGATGATGGTATGCGGGGGAAACTAATGGGTGTATCTAAGAAGGAAGTTATTACCTCAATCATGGAGCCTCAATGTTATGATTAATTTCCAAAGAATGTTACCACAGCACACTTTTTGTTGTCACCTGATATGCCCACATTCATAATTTCCTCTCTGGTGTATATACAGTACATTACCATAGGTATGTGTATATATTTTTGTAAAGATTTTGCTGTTTAAACTATACTAAAATCACATTGATCTGTAAGAAAGTAGATAGTTTAAATATAATGGATTTATTGTTAAAAATGATTCATCATTTCCAGACTTCAAATCTGAATTCAAGATAATGATTTTTTTACAGGCCTGTCATATGTCCTATATGCCTTAATTAGGTATATAAGCTAATATATTTTCCAGCTCAAAATTGTTCCATGGAATTAGTTTGTTGAAAATTTTTGGTTCACAAAAGTACAGGAGACTGCCATTTTTCGGAGACTCCCAACAAAATTGCAATCCTTTGCTAAAAAAGGAATCTTTTTTTATACTTTGAAAATGAGTTTTGAAGCACTATACTTTTCTTATAACAAATAAGTTAAGTAGTAGGATTAAGATTGTTAGCAAGGTTCTGGTGTTGTGAAAGTAATCTGTCACTATACTATATCGGTAAACTCAAAGACTCAAACTTGCTTCCCTAATAGAGGATTAAAGCCAAGGGAAATGAAAGTTTCATTCTCCGCAAGTAGAATTTAGTACGGTAATCTTCGATGAATCAAGACAAGGCCTGAAAGGTTATTAGATACCAACTCATGTATCTTGCACTCGGGAACAGGGATAAGAGAATTTAATCTCTGTTGTATCATTATTTATATCTGTAATTAATCTCAAATATGTAATTAATCATACTTAATTAGATTACTTCAAGTGTGATTTTGTGAAGACAGGTGTATTTTCCTATCTATGGCGTGCTTGGCTTCCAATCAACTTGATTCTTTGTGAATGTTTTCGTATTTCATTTCATGATGTCTCTAATAAAATGTGAAAATGTAGATTGTGTATTTCGACCGCAACTTGCATTTTCCAACTCGCAATGTTTCTGTATGCAATATTCTCAAGTTCCACTAAAATAACACTTAAAGTTGTACCAAATCTGAAAGATCTGTCCACATTATCAATATGTCACAAATTTGCATGCGTACGTGGGTGTGATATAAAGTCTTTATGTTCACATGAGAAAGTTGAGGGTACACACATTTGTCACATAAAACGTGCGTGGTCCAGGGGCGGTGCCAGGAATTCCCCGACGAGGGTCCAAGCTCCCCGACAAGAGGATCCACGCCTCTCCCCCGTCGGGGAAGTCTAGCCACCCCTGGTGTGGACAGGGTCCTGCTTTTCATTTAGGTGATTGTGATCTAAGGTTTCTAACATGAAAAAATTATTCCATGATATACGTTCTTCCTCCTCAATTTTTTTTCAAGGATTGAAAAATTCGAACCTTTTCGATTTAGGGGGTGCATAATCCCAATTGTATCTTTTAGATATGGTTCTGGAAAAGTTTTCCGTAATACAAACATTCACATCGTTTATTTTAAATTTATGGTAATAGATTACTGTTTTTTTCTATGTTTTCTGAAACTGTACACAATTTTGAAGAACTTTTCTCCATTTTTTCTAATGAATAGTGAATTATAAATTTATAACATCAAAAACATCAGTGGCAATCATGAAAAGCTACCTTTAAAATACTGTATGAGTAATTTGATTAAAAATAATCATGTTAAATACAAATAATCCAATTCCCTTCCCAGCATTCTGCTTATGTTCATCTGAAAATGTAAATATTAAATTGTGCCCTGTTTTTGCTTTATATTAGAATAAGTATGTATGTTATCTTTGGGTCAGTAACTTACAAGTTAATTAACCCCAATAATGTGACATAGGTGTGAAATAATACATTATTTAGTACCAGTTACAATTACTTTGTTGATGATGGGAAAATACTTAAAGATAGCCTTAGGTCTTTCACCATTTACCATTCAGTGAAGATTAACACCTTTATTGTTGTAGAGGATGAAGGCATGTACTGAGATTCCTGAGAATCAAAACTACCACCTACCCTGTTGAACTTCACTTCCTATCATCTCATAAAAGTCAATTAATGTGGTAGTGTGATACAGTGTCTTCCTGTTCAATTTTAATTGATTCTTACTATTTCTAATTCCATGCCCACAAGATCATACCATAGTACTGCACTTTGTTTCTGCTGGAACATTCATTCAGTATGATTGATAGTTTTCGTAGCTGACTTGTGGGTTTGTTGGTTGTGATGTCTATGGCATATTGGTTGTGACATGATAGAAACTTCCAGAACTTGAACAATAAAAGCTGTGTTCTGACATTCATCATTTTATGGGGTAAGAATTAATTACACCATACCACCATGATTACACAGAGAGCTTTTTTGAATGAATGAAATACTGAAGGGTATTTTGAGTGAAATAACCGAAGGGTATTTTCAGTTGACCCCCTTTACCTGGCCTGGATTTGAACAGGAAATACTAAATTACTTACGTTATGTACAACCAGAGAGTGTTGTTGCGGTACAACTTAATCCTGTAATTAAAATGCATGATGCTTTAGGAATAAAGTCAGGGGTGGCGCCTGCGTGCTCTGGGGGGAGCGCTCTGTCGGACTATTTCAAGCGACGCTCAACCACACCCATTTTGCTCTCGTCAGGAAATCTGCCTCCTCATTGGGGCATCGGCAGCCCCCCCCCACCCAGTTCCCCCAGTCGGGGGCTTCAGACCCCCCTTGATTATCCCACCATTGATTTTGAATTGTTGGTTGTTATTGGAATCTGCATATTGCAATGTACTGTAGGAATATAGTATGCAGGGTTATAGCTGAAGAAAACTAATTGTGGGTGATAGACATTTTTAGGGTGAGTGTGTGACAACATTAGTTTAACTCTAAATAATAAGAGACTTTTAAAGGATGGAAAAGTGGGTAAACAAGGGTGGGTGGAGGGTCATAAAATTAACTTTACACTGGGTGGAAAACTTCAAGGATGGGTGACGCCCCCCCACCATAATTACATCCCTGAGTATGCCTGTAGAAATGTCTATACAAAGCATTGAAAATGTAACTATAAAATGAAACTTAATTTCTGATTTGAATGTTGTCATTGTTAGCTAGGCTGCCAATCTTTTATACAAATAAAAAATGAATCATGACTTTAAACTTTCTGCAAAATAACAATTAGACTAAATTTGGATTATAATTTACTGGTCTAAAAGCTTTGTAGAGTTTTGTAGAATTGAATAGGGAAAAATACTTTGTTAATGTTTCAGAAGAGAAAGTATATAGAATCAGGTAGGTTTTATTGACTTAAGGTTATTATTAAGGGCATGAATGGATTTAACATAAAAATAAGGCTAAAAAGAAAAGATCGACGTTTCGACTCCTTCATGGTGTCATTTTCAAGATCAAATGATGAAGTAAAAATATACAGCAACAATAATCAATAGAAAAAGCTAATCTACAATGTCAA